TTTTTTTTTTTTTTTTTTTTTTTTTTTTCTTATTTCTAGACTGGTACTCACGGCGGTTACATCCCAAATAGAACAAAACAAAGAAAGATAAGAAGATAAAAAAAAAGGGGAAAAGAAACTTCCCCACACGCTGTGATAGCCATCACATACATTCTATGAGGTGCTGGGGCCAAGTCCCACTAGCCGCGTTGAGCTACCTCAACGTCTGAATCTGGACGCTTATCTGGAGATGTGCAGAAATGGTGTTGAGTTTCCTGAACTGCATGTCTCCAGAAACACGTCCAGATTCAGGCGTTGAGGTAGCTCAATGCTGCTAGTGGGACTTGGCCCCTGGTGAGACTGTGTGCCCTCAGTGAGGGCGTCTGTCTCCACAAACACATCCAGATTCAGGCGTTGAGGTAGCTCAACGCTGCTAGTGGGGCTTGGCCCCTGGTGAGACTGTGTGCCCTCGGTGAGGGCATCCGTCCCTATGAAAAAAAGAATGACGGACAAAAAAAAATAAAAGACCCTTCTCTTATGCTGCTATCGAGGTCCAATACAGGATGCTACAGTGCAGGTGTGAGTATGAGGTGACTGAGGCAGTTGGCTGCCCCCAGTGGAATCCGCCCTGCCTCGCAGGCAGGGCAGGGCACCAATGAGAGAGACGAAAAGTAGGAAAACAAAAACCAAAACATCAGCAATCACCTTCCCCATATCCTGGCCCGATACATTCTCAGAGCACTGGTGTGAAAAGTAGGAAAACAAAAACACCAAAACATCAGCAATCACATTCCCCACATCCTGGCCAGATACATTCGTCAAAACACTGGTGTGACCGCCACCTCGTCAGGGCCTTCTCCCAAGTCCCTCGTTTCGAAGTTCTTAGTTCGTTTTTTTTTTTTGTTTCCCTCACTGCAGGACCGCAGGGTCCCGCGCCTTTTTTTTTTTTTTTTCCCCTACCGCGACCCTAGCCAGACCCCTGAACTTTTCGGATGAGGTCATTTTCCCAAATGGGACTACAGCTTGGAAAGGTAGTGGCGGTGGTTTAAACCACCAGTACTTGGCCCAGCTATCGGCCGCGTAACGCGCCGCGCCTTTAGGGCTTCGGGATACCGGACCACAATGGCTGGAAGCGCCAGCCAAAAAAAATTTGAAACGTACCCCGGCGCTTCGGCCATAATCGGCGCGCAGGGGCATTCCAGGCTCGGCATCGATAGCTGGGCCAAGTACTGGTGGTTTAACATAAAAACAATACACTCTCTGACATTTCTCCAAATTCTCCCATTATGCCTGAAAGATCCCGAGAAGGTGGAATTTGTTCTTTCCGCTTCCCCTCCTCCCCCCCCTCCCCCCCCCCCCTCTCTTTCAGGGCCCTTCTTGAAAAGGGAGACGGCCTTGAGATGTCATCATTGAATTGACCTGCCCTACTTAGTAGGCAATTCAGAACGAGTTTAGTCTGTTCATCTGATAGGATGTGGATTCGGAATCGAGTCTGTATTTCAACAGTTCATCGGTGTACAAACTGAGCTATTTCTTTTTTTTTTTGTTCTTTTTTTTTTTTGAGATTTCTCCGGCGTCCCCCCTGTAGCTGCGGCAAGGGAAAAAAAAAAAAAAAAGTTGCAGGCCTTGTCATTCCAAACCTTAGAGACATTAAAGGCGGCTTACCGAATCCCGGGAACCCACTCGCCTGGCTCGGAAACCAGCCTCGGAATGCGAGATCTGAAGACACAAGGCATTACAAGGAATTATGTCGGTTTTAACATCAGAACAATTTATTTTATTTAGTAACTTTTATTTTATTAAGTTATTATTTTATTAATTTTTCAGAACAATTTCAGGAAAGAAAACAAAATAGTGAGTGGGCAAGCACATTTTGACACGGCCATCTTTGGCAATTTTTCACCTTTTTTTGGCTTAGGAAAATGGCGTCAAAATGTATACGCATGTACCTCATATCATAAAGAACTCACAAGGTATATGCAAGGAACATGAATATGGACGAAGCACAGAAATCCAGAATGCAAAATCACACTGAAGTCCAAGTAGTCAAAGCCAGAGCAGATAGCACAATCGAACCGAGTAACCATCCAATTGAGAATGATACAGAAGAATCGTGAGTCAATGTCCATGCCCAACAGGGCAACACCAACAGCATAACCCAATGTAGCTCTCTCTTATGAATGGCGNCCTCCACCTCCACCAGGTACGTGTCCTCTTCACCCACACTCTCCCTCGTTACCCACACAGCGCCCTTCACCTCCGAAGAACCACCTTCGCCCTTCACCCCTCAGCGCACACAGGCAGCCCGGCTATGGCTGCCAGCGCCCTGCGCCCACAGGCAGCGCCCTACCGCCTAGCGCTGTCCTGCTTCCCTTAGCCTTAACGCAGCGCAGCATGCATGCAACGCAGCAGCGTGCCGGCCTTGCTCACAATGGCCAAGATCCCTGCCCACTCGCCCTGCTTGCCTATATGCCAGTGCTGCGTGTGGGCGGCCTCCCTTCAGCCTGCGACTGGGCCCCAGTGGCTGAACCCAGCCCGATACAGTTGAGGCCGGGGCAATGCAGTTGCGCCTCTTTCATCAAGGCCTGAGGCCAGATTCAGATAGTGGGCCGATTTCCCTTTGGCATTTTCGGCCTCTCTACCCAGCATGCATTGTCGGCCTCACGTTCAAGCACCCAGGGCCTAACGAACTCAGAGGCCCTGGGTTTTCAGCATTTGCTGAAAGTCGAGACTCGGTGCACTCCAACCAACTGGCGTGCTGCAACTGTATGAACCCCACTTCGGGAAATGTTTGCACAGAGGGCTCTTGTTGATTTGCTGGCCCGCCTTCACTTGGGGCGGGCACTAGGCTTGCTGGGGCCTTACCCCAGAACATGTACATCATGGCAAGGCCCCTACTTGAGGGCTCAATCCTCACATTCCATCCCCCTTAGCTTCGAAAGTCCGCTGAGATGCTTACTTCGCAGGTGCCTTCCCTTTCAGTAGCCTGTCATATTCTGCCACCACCTGAGGAGCTGTCTTAATCAGTTCCTCCTTGGTAAACCACCGATCTTCCTTTGGATCCGTATAATGCCTGAATCTGACGCGGTACTCTCTCTTGGGTTTAGGAGGTCTTCCTCGACCCAGCGGCTTCGGAACAGGCATATCCCTGTGATCCACAATGTCGTCGATGTCCACTTGTCCATCCATGGTTGGGGGCAGCATCGATCTCCTGGAAGGGAATTGATCTGTCTCAGCGAAAGGTGCAAGCTTTGAGGGATGAAAGACTGGGTGAGTGCGTAGGTGTCCAGGGACACGAATGACATATGTGGGACCATCCATCTCATCTCCCACTATATCCAGGACTTCCCAGGGACCAAAGTACTGAGGCATTAGTTTGGGAGAGATTCCGAACTCCTGTCCTAACTCACTAGCCTTGACTCAGACTCGTTCCCCTACCTTAAATGTGGACTGTCTACGATGTTGATTCTCATTAGCAATCATTGCTTGCTGAGCTTTCTTCATATGCTCGACAGCCTCTTGCAGCAACTTCTCATACTGCACACCATACTCTAGTGTGCCTGGAGTTGCAGAGGGTCGGTTTTCAGGTAGGAGGAAGTCTTCTGCTGATCTAGGCTTCCATCCCAAGTGCAGCTGATTAGGACTAACGCCGGTACTGCTATGGATAGCATTGTTGTACAGGTTGGCGATGAGAGGCAACTGCTCATCCCAATCATCTTGGCTGGGCTTGATGTAATGCCTCAGCAAGTGCTGTACAACTCTGTTCATTTGTTCGGCTTGTCCATTGGCTTCGGGATGATTCCCTGAAGTCATTTGAAGTTGACTGCCCATTTGTTCTGCGGTCTTCTTCCACAACTCACTTGTGAATCGGACATCTCGGTCACTAACGATTGACTTTGGTAAACCAAAGTCAGGCACCCAGTTGTCTTTGAACAACTTGATGACGTAGCCAGTCCTTGCGGTCTCTGGCATAGCCACTAGTCTAATGTACTTGGTGAATCGGTCGAAGATGTGCCTCTTGCCACTCTTACTAGTCACCAGGGTGTCCATGAAATCCATGGAGACACTCTGTCCTGGACCAGCAGGGATAGGCAAAGGCTTCAACAACCCAAGCGGTGCTTGAGTTTGCTGCTTGTCTCACTGACAGACCTGACAGGTCTCTACGTACTTCTTCACGTCATCCAACATACCAGGCCACCAAAATCGCTGTACTAAGTTAGCACTCGTCTTCTTGTAGCCAAAGTGCCCGGTTGCGTCATGACATTCGCCTAAAAATGAACTACGCAAACGTTCACTAGATGGAACTACTAACCTTTTTATTCTTGCCTTATCAAGATAGAGTAACCCATCCACCATCACAAACTCACTTTCTGTGGCCTTGTCTTTTGCCTGAAGTTTGCGCATGATGTCCATCGTGATAAGGTCTTCCTGATAGGCTCCCACCAATGATTGAGTTACTTCGTCAGATACGCCAAAGTCAGAAACTAGCGCACCTAGGTAGTCTGCTCTATGGGATAGCGCATCCGCAACCTTGTTGTACTCTCCCTTYAAGTAYTCAAGCTTGAAGTCATATTGGTCTATGACYTCAATCCATCGCTTGAGTGCGTCAGAAAGAGCCGGTTGAGTCTTGATCCATTTGAGGGTCTGATGACCAGTCCTCAAGTAGAAGAACCTTCCCAATAGGAAGTGTCTCCAATGGACAAGTGCTTTGTATAGAGCTTAGAGTTCCCTTTCGTAGGTGGACTTTGCCAACTTCTTCGATGGCATCTTCTTGCTCATGTACTCAATCGGTTTCAACTTTTTCCCATCCTGCTGAGCCAACACTGCGCCAATGCCGTATTGGCTTGCGTCAGTGGTCACTATGAATGGCTTCTGAGGATCGGGAACCATAAGGACCTCATGATTCATGAGTGCATGCTTCAATCTCTTGAAAGCACCCTCACACTCATCACTCCAGTCCCACAGCATGTCAAGTCGAGTTAGATCAGTCAAAGGAGAGGCGACTGTAGAATAGTTCTTAACGAAGTTCCTATAGTAGCCGCACATTCCTAAGAATGATCTGACCTCAGTGACTGTCTGAGGTCGTGGCTAGTCTCGAATACTAGCCACCTTCGCATCTTCCGGCTTAATCCCCTTCGCGGATACTTCATGACCCAAGTATAGTATCTTAGTGCGACCAAATTCACACTTCTCTAAGTTGACCTTATACTTGTGCTGTCGCAGGAGTGAGAGTACAGTCGCAACATGTTGTGCGTGCTCCTCGACAGACTTACTAAAGATCAGAATGTCGTCTAGATAGACAACGACAAACTTATCTATATGGTCATGGAAGATCCGATTCATAGCGTGCTGGAATGTTCCCGGCGCGTTACAAAGACCAAAAGGCATCACTACAAACTCATACAGACCATAACGAGTCTGAAAAGCTGTCTTGTGTTGGTCCTCAGGCCTTATAGCGATCTGATGATAGCCGGATTTCAAGTCTATCTTACTATAGTACTTGCATCCATGCACCCTATCCAATAGGTCGTCTATGCGAGGTAGAGGCTCTCCATTCTTCACAGTGATGGCATTGAGGCCTCTATAGTCAATGCACATCCTCAAAGTACCCCCCTTCTTCGGTACGAATAGAACGGGTGATCCGTAAAGGGAAGTACTAGGCCGAATCCATCCCTTCTCTGTCAGCTCCTTAAGCTGTCGCCGAAGTTCATCTAACTCGGCGGGGCCATCCTATAGATCCTTCCCTTTGGGGTCTTACTCCCTGGAATGATTTCTATAGCGTGGACGACTTCCCTTTCAACTACTCCTGTGGGCTCCTCGAACAGATCAGGGAACTTAGCAACGACGCGTTCTATCTCTGGGGGTGTTTTAACGGCCTTCCCTTTCTCAGAGACATACACAAGGTACATACCCTCCTCTTCGTTTTGCTTGTAAGAATTGTAGAACGCTGATGCGCACAAGCAGCCATAGGTATCTATAATGCTACTAGCCTTGAACTTAGTCAATCTGACAGTTCGGCCATTGGGCAACTTATGCTTGAGCATCTTCTTATCCCAGTCAAACTGGGGCTTAGCAACTTCGAGGTAGTACATGCCTAGTAACATGTTGAATGGTAAGTCGTCGCTAACCAAGAACGAGATCTTATGGTTAAGTTCACCTCCTCCATTGGAGAAGGTACAGACTACGTCCTTGATGTAGTCTGTTACGATCATGCGCTCCTTGTTGGCCAAAGTAGATGCTACATGTCTACTAAGGTGCCGTACTCAGTCCTGTAGGTGCAACCTTTCCAAACAGTCGCGACTTATGTAATTCCGCGTGGATCCGATGTTTATGAAGGCACCACATTTGCGGCCTCCTACATCCAGTTCCACTACGAAATGTTCCCTTCTAGGCCCCACCCAAGACTCCCGAGGGTCCTTGTTTGACCACTCGCCTTCTAAGTCTTCTAAGGCTTCAGACACATCTAACGTACAGAGCATAGTTTGGTCTAGATGTGTCTGCGGGGTGACTAAGGAGTTATTAGCTTTGGCCTTGTCATGAAGTGGGGAGGGTATCAAGCCCACTTCATCTTGAGTAGAAGCAGCTAATACTTCCAATGGCCTCACGCGTTTTCCGAGCTAGAAGCCTGGGAATAGGATGCCCCTATCTTTGGAGCTACCTTTTGCGTAACCTTCACGTTCTGGCACTTGGATTGCGAGTGTCCGTATTCCCCACAGTTG